GGCTGGCTGTCAGTGCCATCCCTGGGTTCACATCAGCTGGAATGGGTCAGATCCTCTGGAATTTTGCCCTTCAAGTGTTTGGCTCCTTCTCACATGAGCAGTATCTGGGACACTTCTGCCCTGGTTTTCCTGTAAATCTTGGCTTTCCCGGGCTTCATCTGATCCTGTTGTTGCTGGAGGTCGTTAGGGGTGTCATTCAATCTCTTTATTGGGCTGGTTTATGCTGCTGGCTCTGGGCAGGGTCTGTCCCCTCACCTTTGGCAGTGCAGTTCCTGGCACTGCTCCGCACAGGCACCAAAAAACCTCCTGCCTTAGGGATTTGGGTGAATAATCCTGATTTTCAGGGGTGCTGGTGACCAGTTTTCTCCTCTCTGATGAGGAGGGACTGCAGGAGCTGAGCCTGGTCGGTCCAGAGAGAAGACTGAGAGGAGATCTCATATAAATCCATGCAATCTGTATAAAAACATCTGCAGGAGGACAGTGCCAGACTCTTCCCAGGGTGCCCCACGACAGGACAAGGAGCAGTGGCCATAAAATGAAGTACCAGAAGTTGCACCTGAACATCTGGAAGGAATCCTTTCGATAGAAGGTGGCAGAGCTGCCCAGGGAGGGCCTGGAGTCTCCCTCTGCAGAGACATTCCAAACCCATTCCTGTGTCACCTGCTCCAGGTGACCCTGCCTTGGCAGGCAGTTGGACTGGATGATCTCCAGAGGCCCCTTCCACCCCAGCAATCCTGTAATTCCATAACTGATGAAGATGCATCAGTTGCCCACGTTATAATCTTATTTTTAGCTGCCTCACACCGACACAACCTCGTGCTTCAAACCTCTGAGCAAAGCCCAGTGTTCTCCCCTCCCGAAAAACTCACAACTAATGAATGATTTGAAAGCCATGAGGTGTCCAAGCCACTTGTTTTATGTTGTGGAAGGAGCTCCACCACTGAGAATGTGTTTGGCCTTTGATGAAAGCGACTCCTGCGTTTGGTCTTTATTTAAGTAAAACCATGTTTGGCCTGGTGGCAACTCCTGGCGTTTTCCTTCTCACGTAGAGTTTCTGCAGGACAGCCCAGGGCCATGTTTGGGGCCAAGAGGATCTTCTTCTTAAAGGGTAAATTTAACCCTTTGCTGCTTCTCTCCCACTCAGGCATCTGTGGCTCCTGTGCCATGAACATTGGAGGGGGGAACACGCTGGCCTGCATCAAAAAAATCGACTCTGATCTCAGCAAGGTCACCAAAATCTACCCTCTGCCCCACATGTACGTGGTGAAGGACCTTGTCCCGGTGAGTGTGGGCTGGGGACCGTGGATGGCAGCATTCCAGGCAGGTTTGGGGTGGGAAGGATGGCCCTGGGAGGTGCCAGCCGAGATCAGGGCTCACATTTCACGTGTTCCTCGTGCTGCTGGTTTTTGGGTGGGTCTGCAGTGACTAAAT